ACCATTTCGGTTATGCCCTGCCAGCCCCCAACTCACTGCTGCTGTGGTACAATGCTTTAATGCAACGAATCTGAGCAGGAACATCCACTTCTGGAAGCCTCCAGTCACTGCAGTGGTGGCCTCATTTGGTCTGTCAAGCCTTTGGCAGGGTTGAGCAGTGCCAAACATATTCCAACTTGCCCATGCAACCAGGCCTCTTTCAGGTTTCAGGAGCGCTTAAGGAGAGTGCAGGGGGCATCTGCGCTCCAGAAATTTATGTCTCCACGTAGAGCTTTGTAGGAGCAGCTTTGCTTCGGAAAAGGGTTGTAGCACGTGCAGCGCACACGGTAATCCAGACCAGTAGAGCTGCTCTCTCCTGGTGACCCAGGAGCAGGTGGTCCATCAGCACAAGGGACATGGTGGCGACCCCTGTATTAAAGCACATGTGGCTTGCATGTTTGACAGCCCCGTGTTGTCAAGGTTTTCAGGCTCATGTTGGGTTTGTGCTCAACACTGGTGGGTGGCCCGAAGTCTTCTGGCTTGATTGCAAAGACATCTGTTTACACCAGTGGTTAATTAGGCCTGAAGACTGGCCATCTCTGTATTTTTCCCCACCGTTTCTGTGTTTTTTCTTGATTAGAAGTATTCCCTCCTCAGGGAGGAATAGAGGCTTTGGTTTTATCTGCAGATTTTTTTTTCCCTCTTAATCCACTGGCCCCAGTATGAGATGAATATCAGGACATCAGCGTAGCCTCTCTCCAAAAAAGTAACCAAGTGTTCCAGAAAAGAATGACTTGTGCTTTTGATAGAGACTGCAGAGTGAGCACTGGAAGGGAAAGAAAAGCAGCCTAAAATGGTTTAAAACATGGCTCAGTGCAGAGTACAATTCACTGTGTCACAAGAAGCAAGAATGGAAAGGGGAGACTGTTTTAGGAGCCTGTGTGCCGTACAAACAGCACCAGTGTAAACAGTCTGGCCTGGGCCAGAAATGAAGTACATCATGCAGGTGATGCAGCCTGAATGGGATCTGGGAAAGAACATGGATTTTTATAAAAAGGCAAAAAGATGTGAGAAGACATACAGCAATGGTAGGGAGCCCAAGCCCCTGTCAGAGGACAGTCTTTCAGCTGGAGCAATGATGATGCACACCACAGTCTCCAGAGAACTGGGAGTGCACAGGGAATTACAGAGGGAGGGAGTCATCTCCGTGCATGAGGAATGCAGCAAAACCTCCTCTGACTAAGCCAGCTAATGCACACTGCATTTTTTTTTCTTTCCTGATAATCCTGTTCCATAATATTTCCTTAATAATTTAGTATGTGAAGAGTAGCCCTTTTGAAAAGCATCTAAATCACCAAATCTTACTTTCAGAAGAAACCTTACTACCCTTGTCCTTCACAGGCACTGGGGATTTTTATTAGGCATGGCTATTTGAGAGCTATCTGGGAGTTAAGGGTTGTTTGTTTTTTTCTTAATTACTTAATGAATTTACCGTGTGGCACAACCCTTGGTACTGCCAAGCAATAGCTTTCTATTACTAGACTGTACAGGCCCAATCCTGTGTTACCAAAGCCAAAAGCAGTATTTGAGAACTGACGTTGTCATTGAAATCTGTAGGAAGCTTAGAATAACTATAAAAAAGGGGGTAGTTTCACTCAGAATACTGGTTCATGAGCTCCCTGGTTTTTTGCATCTCTGTTCATTTTACCCAAAGAAGATCAACTGCCCAACTGGACATATAATATATGATACTGCATTAGAACTAAGGCTGCATTTGGTCATACTCATTAATTAAACTGATTCCTCCTGTAGGGTTTTTTTTCCTAGAGAACTAACAGAGAATGATAATTAAGCATATTATGCATTCTAGGGAACGGTGTTTCTCCTACTGCCACAAAAACATTAAAGGAGAAAAACATGAACTAAAGCAGAAAATGAAGGAGGGGGAAAAGAGAGCTAAAATTGGAGTGAGAAGGGGTGGAGCATTCCTTCCTTCTGTTTTAACCAGCTCCTCTGTGCCTTGGGACGTGTGGGGCAGCCTTGTTACAGTGGAAGAGTTGCACCAGCAAAAAAAAAGGAAAAAAAGCCATTGAAATCCCAAGGAAAGCAGCCCAGCTCACAAGCACAGGTCCCTCCCTGCTCGTGTACAGGTGCAGGCCGCAGTAATGCCGCACCCTGGTTTTTTTACTGAGGAGCTTGTTTTTATTTGTGGCTCGGCCTTGCATGAGAAGGGCCCTGCTCTGGAGGGTCAGTATTGACCCCTGAGCTGGCCTGAACGGAGATGGCACGAGGTCCTAGTGGTATTTAATCATGCAGTGTGATTCCTTCTTGCCCAGGAGCCCCGCGTTGCTCAGTGGGGAGAGCGCTGCTCGAGCGCTGCAAACCAGCAGCTTTGGCTGTAGGCAGGCCCTTTGTTTAGCTTTTCCCAAGTTACCAGTGCTGCGGGGTCTTTATTTGCAAAAAGTTGCCTGCTCTCGGGGCAGCATTAGGTATTTACCTGCCAGCTCCTGCATGCACTAAGGCAAAAACATCCAGGGAGAAAATAAAGTTCTGTTGTACAATTACCTAATGAAATCTCATAGTACTCGTGTGTGCTGCAATTAGAAAGAAAAAGGCCAAGGATGAAATTAGAAACATAGGAAGCAGTTCACTCCCTCTTGTTTTTTGAAGAACGTGAGGGATGCCAACATTCCAGCACACCAAACTTTGCTGCTCTTTCCTAATTAGCACACGTGTTGATGGGCAGATTACCTGGCAGTCTGTAGTATTTCTAATGAATTGCCTATGAAGCCCATGTCTCTTCCCCCCTCCCAGTCTTTCCAATCTTTGATTTCTGTTCATTTATTTATTTATCTTCAGGGCAGGAGGGGTTTTGAGTGATCTCCATGAGACTTGACCTCTTCAATCAGACAGGCTTTGACCATCCTTTCTCAAAGACAAGGCTGCACTTAGACTATGCCTGTAGCCCACATCAGGTCAGTACTGCTGCAGAAGAACACAGCTTGGTTCCTTCTCTTTTAGCGTGTCGTCTTCATCTGTGAGCAGGGCCTGTGTCAAGCCTATGACTGCACAATTACATCTGTGCTGCTGCTCCCCAGGAAGCCGTTGTGTGCATCCTTCAGAAACGGGATGTGTTTTGGGTGGCTCCTCCTTGCAGACATGCAGACTTCCCCCCCAACTCCTGCAGGCTTTGGAAACCTCTCCACACTTCCTAGCACAGTGTTCTGTAGCTCAGTTGCAGGCTGTTTCTCTGTGCTTACTAACAGGGTCAGACAAACTGCGTTTGAGTCTTGCAGGCACCTCCTGGTCAGGCTGCTCCAAAGCTGCAGAGTGGAGTTTCTTGGCCAGAAAGGTCTGGTTAGATCAGCTGCGAGGCCATGTGAGGAGCAGTCAGCAGGAGGAATATTCACCTTGCGTAGCCCAACCTCGTCCCGCCAGGATGGAGCCTCTGCTGTGTGCGGAGCGTAGGAAGGAGCTCTATTCCTATCGACCCGTATCGTGACCTATGCTCAGCTGAGAGTGCATCTGAGTGTGGATGCAGGTTGTACTAGTTGTGTCCAGAGGAACAATCTGAGTTACAGCGTGACTATGAACTCCTGCCAAGAAAGGCCTGGGAGAGTTACAGTAGGAAACAGAAGGGGCAGTGAGTTTTGTCTTGTGCTGGTGTAAAAATTGGAGCGACCTAACAAAGCCAGAAGCGTTTAAAACTCGGATGACACAAGCTCAGGATTTTTACTGCCGAGTATAACACAGCAAGATCAGGGCTGTGCATATCGGGCTGCTTATTTAGCAAATGTTTGTGGTCCTGCCTCTGGTGCCGGTGATAGCGCGCACACACCCAGGCACGGGGACTGTAAACCTGCTGCGGACTTTGAGCTCCGGAAGGCAGGCACTGCTCGGCTGGGTGCATCCACAGCGTGATTACGCAAGGCCAGATCCTGCTGTGTTACAAATCCGGCGTAAAGGAGGGCAGAATGTGGCTCTGAAATACAGTGAATCTGACTTGCAAGTTTTACAGATATTCTGGGTGGATTTTGAGTAGGCAGAGGCCCGCTGAACAGAGGTACCACTCAGGCCCCTGAAGAAGATGAACCTTCTTTTATTTAGTGATTTTATTATGACTCGTTGCAATTTCGGGAAGAGACTTGTTTCCCCCAAGCAAAAGGAGCAAATTTCAGTGCCTTACTGTTGGAAAGTATCCAGCCAGGGGGAATTCTGGTTTTAATGTTTGCCGGCTCCGGGGCGATTCGCAAATCACTTGTCAAAATTTAGTAAACGGTTTGTGAATTGCTTTGCAGATTGGTTCAGGGCTACCTCTGTGCTGCAGACACAGGATGAAAGAGCCTGGATCTCCTCAAAGGAATGGCTGATAGCACCAGTGGAAGGGGAAAGGTGTGCTGAGGCCTCCAAACTGGGAGAGTAAAATGTCAGTTTTTACTGATGCCCTTTCCTCCCATTTTAGTGATTTCAGCAGAGTATTATTTGAAGTGCCTGGTGTTTAAATATCAGTTAGATGGGGATCTTTCCGATTACAGTTTTAAGAATCCATAAAATCATCATTTAATCTCCTTTTATTTTGGCAGATTCACTGTTTGAATTGTTTGGAATTATTTTTCCTTTGTGGATTTTCATCAGATACAATTTTCAGGTTAAGGAAGCCTTCCTTCTAAAAGTATCCTTCTTTTCCTTTTTGGTTTTCTAACTGAAAACTGAACTTAATTTCTAACAAGACCATCATCTTGATTGATCACAAATCATTACAGATGGTTTTCAGCATAATGCCTAAACGAGTCATGATATTAATGACTAATAATCGCCTTTATATTAGGTCTTAAAGCTTTATTGTCCCGAAGTACAACCGGTTCAGTGGAACATGAAAGGCCGGAATGATGCGAGATGCCGCTGGGGCTGCAGCCAAAACTGTGTGGTGTTTGAATCGCCTTTAACAGAGCCGGCTGGGATTACAGCCCCTTTCGAAACACAATAATTGAGGTGACTTAAAATAATCGTCTTCTTTACAGGTAGCGCCTGGTGCCGAGCGCTCCCCCCCTGCCCCCAAGTCTTCACGCGCTCGAACATCTCCGTTTGGCCTCATTTTTGTGCTTCGGTGGTATCTGCACAGCCCAAATTAGCAGCGAGGATTCCACGGACGGGGGCCGCTGCCTCCCTGGGCTCCCAGGTGAGCTGCCGGGGCGGGGGCGGCCGCGAGAGCTCCGGGTTTTATCCCCACTCCCCCAAAGCCCCAGCTCCGCTTGGCCCAGCCGGGGACTGACCGGGGGCGGTGATGGTGATGGTGGGGGGAATTTTGGGTTGTACCGGGACGACCTGGGAGCCAGCCCCGCTGGCCGAGCCCCGTCCCCTGGCCGGGTCCCCACCACCGGATAGCGGGGATACTTGTCATATTTGCGGTCGGGGCGCGCTGGCACCATCCTTTGTGCCGGCCCGGCGCTCCCCGGGGAAGCCCCGGCGGCTGCGGGGGCCGTGCCGCCCGCCCGGGGCCGGGGCACGCGTGGGCAGCGCGGGGAGCCGCGGGAGAGGGAGCGGGGGAGGAGGAGGAGGAACGGGGGGGGGGGGGGGGGGGGGGGGGGGGGGGGGGGGGGGGGGGGGG